TAACCATGTCATCACCCTAATTCAGCTTTTCTTTCTCTTCTCTTCTCTTCTCCTCTGTTTCATTTGTTTTGTTACTTCATTTGGAGTTGCATTTCATAAGTAAACTGATTGAAACCTTAAGAAAGGAAACTTTTGGTAACAATTACAAAATAACTTTCTTTGGTTCTGCTTTTGGTAGGGCTTGTTATCATTGCTGAACATATCTCATTCCTTCCTCGTTTACCTCTATATCCTGGACATTGGACTAACACTATCCATATCCCTTGGTAACCCTTTATGCTGCAGCATTCCATTTTCAGTTGATGACATATCAAAGTCGATGGAACAAATAGACATCTCCGACATTGAACCACCGCCACTTATTCGTGAGAACTCCGGCTTTAGTTTCTTGTTGCCGCGTACAGATTGATTACTTTGCTGCAGATGGATGGATGGAGGGAATGTCTATGAGAATGAGCCTGTCTTTACTGTCAAGTGGTAGATTCAACATGCAACCTCCCCTAATTCCCTCATGGATATTAATTAATTATGGGGTTGTACATTGTTCATGATCATGCTTTGCCCCACAAAATTTTTCTTTGAATCTGCATTTAGATACATCATGAATTGCATCAAATGGAAACGGGGATGTTAATGCTATTGTTCCCCGCCAATGTAAGTTGAATGTTTTGTGTTATGTTGTACAAGTAGCTGATTTTAGGGATGAAATTAAAAGCTTAGAGCATATTTTTTTTCTTCTTCAATAAATAGCAGTTTTTTTTGGCAGTTTAAAAGATGAACAATCTCAGTCAAGACCAAAGAACATCTTCATCATGTATTTACATATTGACACAAGAACCAAATGAAACAGAATTATTCATTTATTGCTTGTGACTGGCGAATAGATGCCATGTAACAGAAGAGAAACTGAAGACGCTATTCAGCCATATACGTACAATTAAAATAACAGAGCAAGCAGGAACAAGAGTTCCATGAAAATATGACTAAAGAATAGCATCTTGATAGGCTAAGGCTTAATCTGTTTACCATGAAAAATGGAATGCCTTTTATAAGTTTTTTTCTTTTCTTTCATGACCTTGAAGGGATTCTAACTTGCTGAACTTGGAATGAAGTTACCTTACCCTTCACACTGGACTCATGTTGGAACACCCCGACCTGACATACGATTTGACTAACTGGAAGTGAAAAACACAGATTCTACAAATCTCATGCATCTAATTGTATGGATAAAAGCTAGGGTTTTTTTGTTGACCACAAGTTTGGTAAATGTGAACTTACCTTTGTGAAGCTGAGAGAGGTACAGAGAGGGTCATGGACACAAGGCACGCCGTTCAAGCTTTCAACTTTAATTGTATGGAATTGAATTGAGTATGTGAATTGAATTGATAAGGAGTTGGATTGAGGAGAATTAGATTTCGGATTTTTATTGAAGGTGTTTACTAAACCATATGGATTGAGAAGAGTTAAATTACGGATTTTTATTAAAATTATTTATTAAACCATATGGAATTAGGGTAGGAGAGATGCTAATTACTAAAATGTCCTGTTGTTGGGTTAAAGTAGATGGCAAATTTGGAATTTTTAAAATTGTGTAAGGATATAATGGATAAAAAAAGATAAATTCCTAATGGCAGAATCCTCCATATGCAGAATTCCAATTCCTTATTAGTAAACACACCATGAGTCTCTTTCTTCCTACTTCCTCTCTTGAGTTCTGTGTCGGTACCTGGCAGTAAGTAACAAAGCACTCTCAACGGTGTCTTTCCTTTTAATGTTTCGCCCTATAATTACCAAATCCAAACCAACCCAAATGCGCATCAAGCTCATTCGGAGGCCCATTCACAAGTACAAGCCCGTAGCATGAACTCGAAGCCCAAGGAAGAAGTATGGGCCTGAAGGTTCAACAATGAAGGCCTTTGATTCTTTTTCTTTTAATACAAATAATATTGGTGAAGGGGATTCGTAAAATTAAGGGCACCTCTGACTTTTCATACATAATTTGCGTTTTAATTCTAAATCAGAAGAACCTCCAAAATTAAAATTGTTAGAAGCTTCCTCAGTCGGTGTGTGTGTGCAGATCAATCATACAACATTAATAAATAAATTATATACATTCAAACGCCTCCGTTCTTTATAAATTAAGCTAGTCATAGTCATAACTTGGATCTTTGAAGTTTGAACTGGAAGACAAGATTAAGTTACATGCATCACTTAACCCAGAAATAATAATAATAATTAATTAAAGAAACAAAACAAAAGGAGATGGAATGAGGTTAATTAGCAAAAGGAATTGACAAATTTGAAAATAAAATTAAAATAATCATATATGAGTCATATGATTATGATCGATGTCCTTATCGTTCTAGAAAAATATTTTAAATTAATTGGCCATGGAGGCATTTGCCTGCACGCTTTATATGGACCACCTTGACCAGTTCGTTCGTTCGTTCGTTGCTACAGGTGATCAAGCAATCTTATTTCAAACAAACTATAACACAAGTTTTGTTTTGTTTTTTTCATTTTGGTACCATGATTGTTTGCTAATCAGAGATAAAGTCAAAGATAAACATGCATGATTCTGCTCCCCAGGACTAGAAGGAGTTGTGCTGTGGTGGTGACGAGACAAGGACTGCAAATTAGGGTTTGACCACAAGATTGAAGATTGCTCCACTAAGTATTAATATTGGCACGTGATCAAATACTTTTGTGTGGAAAAAACACCAATCAATCTCTGCATTATTATCTAAAGGAACATATATATCTTTTTCTCTTTTAATTTACGTCTAAAAGTCACTTTTGGTCCCTATAATTTGGCACTTTAACCACTTTTGACCATGTAATTTCAATTCCCTCAACTTTGACCATCTAATTTCATATTTGTAGCAATTCAAGAACAAGTTAATATTTCTGTCAATTTCTTTGACAATAAAAGAGGCAATTTCGTCAACCCAAAATCCTTGAGCATAGAAGCTCGTCTGAAACTCCCATAATTTCATATTAGGGCTTGAAATTGGTCATTTGGTTTAGGGTTCTTCAAAAATTGGGATTAGTAGTTGAATTTCAAGCCCTAATATGAAATGGGGAGAATTTCAAACAAGCTTTTACGCTCAAGGGTTTTGGGTTGACAAAATTGCCCTTTGCATCGTTAAAGAAATTGACAAAAATACTAACATGTCCTTGAATTGCTACAAATACGAAATTACAATGGCAAAATTGACGAAATTGAAACTACATGGTCAAAAATGATTGAACTGCCAAACTACAGGGACCAAAAGTGACTTTTGGCCTTAATTTACTGATACTAATATCATCATATGACAGAAAGAGAAAAAGAGAGAGGTAATGTTGGGATAAAAACAAGAAGCTGGCTCTGGACTTGTTCATCATAGTTTAATATAATTTGACAAAAAATTAAATAATTAGAAACATCAGTTTCCTTTTATAGGTAATGTTGGGTTGGGGTATTATTTCTATACATTAGAAATCAGTATTTTTTTTTTCTTCGTAAATACAACGAGGTATCCCCACACCTCGTGGGACAATATAGATGTGATGTGAAGCTGTAACTTTCAAACGTGACTAGATTAGATATTTTAAGCAGCCATTTTAGAACTTAATTGAAAATGTACGCCATCAGTGTTTATAGTCTACTGCACAAGGTCTTTGCAGCAACCTTTTTTCCAGTCCATGCCTTAGTTTTCCACATTTGTCTATATACCTAGCTCCTTTCTTGGTTGCTTCCATTCATTCAAGAACCTCCACATATTTCAAGGGATTTAAGGGTTGAATTCACCCACATGCAATTCAGTAACGGTATTTTTGCCCATATATATATATAAGGAGGCCCAAGTAGATACAAATTCAAAAGTTCTCTCTCTCTCTCTCTCTCTCTCTCTCTCTCTCTCTCTCTCTCTTTGTCTCTCTCCCTTTCTCTGTAGTTGAAAAATGGAACAACTTAGAAATCACCATAGTCATCACCAACCTCAACCTGATCAAAGCAAAAAACCAACAAAAGCTAAAGCACCCATGATTAAGTATATCTCCAGCCCTATGATGGTCCAAGCCAGCAATGCTTCTGAGTTCAGAGCAATTGTTCAGCAACTCACAGGCCAAGATTCCAATATTGCAGTTTTTGATGATCAACAAGGCACTCATGATGAACAAGCCAGCTGGGTTTCTTCTTCTAACCATGAAGCTTCAAAAGCAGAAAGGGTGATGAGGTTTTCAGAAGGCCCTCCTCTCCCTGTAGCTGTTCTTGATCAGCTTAGTGATGAAAATAACTTATGGGAAGCAGTTGCAGAAAGCTTGTCTGCTTTCCAATCTCCTTGTGTTTATGTATGAGTGTTTTCTCTGTTTTTCATTTTCTCTTGGAGATCAGCTTATGTGATTGTGATGTTTCACTACTCACTAGCATTTTTGCACATAACCTTAAACATTCTTTCCTTCCATATCAGTGAAGAATGAACCAAACTTAATGTATTTCTTGCTAGCAAGCAGCTGCACTTGAATGGTCATTCAAAATTAAGGCATTCAGAAGATATATATATGTTGTTGGGTTAAAGTAGATGGCAAATTTGGAATTTTTAAAATTGTGTAAGGATATAATGGATAAAAAAAGATGAATTCCTAATGGCAGAATCCTCCATATGCAGAATTCCAATTCCTTATTAGTAAACACACCATCACCATGAGTCTCTTTCTTCCTACTTCCTCTCTTGAGTTGATTTAGGTTTGAACTGAATGAATGAAAATCGTTCTGCATCCAATCTCCACTGTCATTAGATGTTCTTCGAGAATTAGTCACAAGTTCCGGTTTCTTATTTTTAGCTACAAGGTTTGAACCGGCCCCAGTTAATCCTATGGAGACTGAGCGGAACAAGTCATGTATAACAGTATATTAGGCCTTTTACTATGTCAACTTCAATTCACCAGAAGCCGATTTTTGTTTGTAACCCCACCCCCTCCCCCCGCCGAATTGAGCACAAAAATTTGAAGTAACATAAAAGGGAAAGCGCCTTAAGAAGATAGCCTACAAATTTACATGATATACTACCATAACTGCATTGTCTCACTAAAAAAACCATAGTTCAAGGTTTGAGGGTAAACACTCAAAGATAAACACAAGCCCTTTAAGCAGCAAGTCTTCTTTTTTTTTTTTTTTCCTCTCTTCTGCGCCTAATTGGATATTCCTCACCTAATTCTCTAAGTTCAGATGCTAACAGACCAGTATGTCTGTCATTTTACCTCTTAATTCCCATCATCAGCAGATTTCAGGTAAAGAGTCTCACCGCCATCTCCGCCATGGCCTCCAGAGCTCCCAACACCCCCCATATCTTGCTTACTCCCACTGGCCATCCTCCTATGCAGGCCTTCTCCAGGGGAGCTGCGTCCATAATCAGCAAACCCTCCAGCCCCAAATTGACCACTGCCTCCAGCATTATTTGCCTCACTCTGGAGCATGTGAAGTCCTGTGCTTCCTCCAGCACTCATGGCAAGTTGGCTGTGCAGGGCTTGTTGTTGCAGAGCTGAAAATGGCTGCTGGGAGTACAACATAGAAGAGCGTGCAGCCATGAGCGATTGTGGTGTCATCTGTTGAGCTGCTTGTTGCTGCATGTAATGTGCTCCTGGTTGCATAATGCCAGTGGAAGGGTACTACAGAGAATTTTGAACACAATCAGGGAATCTACAATATTTGGAACACTGATTTACGCAGTGGAACTACGTGACAGAATCAGTCAGAACCCTTCAAGTTATAAAACTTTTTGGAAATGAGGTTTGTACCTGAGGATGCATGGTAGGAGGTTGGGGTTGAGAATCAGCAATGGCAGCCAGGTACATCAGATTTCTCTGTAGCTTTGCTTGGTTCCTAAAACAATTTCAAAAGAATTACTGAAATGTCTAGCGCTTCAAATTTATAAATTGATTTATAGCCATTAAACTTCCAAAACAATGTTTAAGTGTACTGAGCTGAATGCAGAGCTTCCAAAATTAAAATGAGCACGTCATAAGATTGAATGGACATGCAAAATCCAGGCTAAAAGGAATGGACAAACTTATATGAGACCTGTATCATGCTAAAAGACAATGGTGCACCAGGTGGACCATGAGTTGCAACCATGCAGTTATCAATTAGAAAGCTAGTAAAAATATCAATAAAAAAGAGCCTAACAGATATACGGTGCTTATAAATAGCAATCTGTGAAAATAAAAGATGTCCAAAGCAGAGCAGTCAAGGAAGAACTAAATGCTCACTCTGCGCATTCACTCAATTTCCCTGTATTCTGGCTCTCAACGATCTTCAGAATCAATGACTTGTTCTCGTCCAAGTACTGCAGTAAAATTTAATGAAATCAGGAACAATTAATTTAAACCATATAACACTAGGATAACTATAAGCTAATACAGAAGATAATTACAGTAAAATGAAATTACGGGTGCAACCAGCACTGAAGCCAATTATCTGACCACATGTTTCCCAGCAATAAACCAATTTGTACAAATCAGACATCAAGTAGTTTGACATTGGAAAATGATGAATCTGAAAGCAATGAATCCCAACAGACTCGAGCCGCAGAATCGAAGCCATGTTGTTTACATTCATAATAGCGACAACAGCGCTACTCGACTGGAAAATATCCTTTATGTTCATGTGATGGATTCAAAAAGCCAGAATCAATTTTGACAGTCAAGCACAGGATTGATCACAGAATGAGGACATGAGTTATGTTAGAACCCTTTAAAGGAACAAAACCCTGTAGGATTCGCTGTTTTGGTGCCAAGAAAGACAAGAACATGCCAAAACAGCACTTTAAACAGATTTCCTTGAATTTTTTAAACCCAACCATAGTTTCCATTCCAGTTCTGCAAACATCTAGATTCTCCACGTACACCTACAAGTTTGTCCTTTACTATTTGAGTATCCCTGTATTCATTTTTTCTCAGTTTCAATTCCCCTCTGAGAGTTATTTGGTATTTTGTGAAGGATTTTTCAGTTGAACTTGAAATCTAAACTAGATCAGCTCAACTTATGCCTTACAAAATTAATGGAATAAAAAAAGACTACCAAAACTGATGCACATAATATAGAAAGCTAAATACTTTGTGCTTCATAATCCTATCCTAGGTATGCCATCAAGATTTTTTTCAAGAAGCCGCCCCTCAAATGAAAGTACAAATATTAGTTCACTAGTCACAGCTTGTCAAAATAAATGAAAGCACCATTCTTTAAGTTAGTGTGCACTGCTGCAGGCAGAAAGCCCCTAGATAAACTCATGATATCTGAGAATCGCACCAAAATGCATGATGATGTGGGTTATCACTATTTACGTCTGATAGAAGACGTTACCATTAAAAAAAAAAACCCACACAAAAAGAAAAAGGAGTGAATCAAGATATCCCACATAACAGAAACCATTTATCAATTCTCAACACCCATTTAAACTTCACCCAAGAAAAGCAGATGTTGGAAAGTGCTTGATAAACTGTTTAGAAAAGCAGAAGAAACAGCAATACGGAGACAAAATACTGAGATAGCCAAGAAAACAGCTTCAGCTAATAATCAAGCATGGATACATAAAAGTACATACAAACCCAAAAAAAAAAAGAGAAAAGAATAATACCAAAAATCAATACTTTAGAGTTTAGAGAAAAAGGGATAAGTTTTTATAAAATTTAAAAAAAAAACAGAAAACACAGAAAAGAGAAAAGAAATAGAAGGGGAAATGAAAGGAAGTGACAGGAGAAACCAAACCAAATGGAAGTGCAGAAGCAAGCAGAGAAACGATACAGGAAAAAGAACCCAGCAAAAAGGCAGAGAAGAAGAAGAGGACCTGTTGAATGTGATCTGTAGTGACGTTGTTGGGATAATAGGCTGCCATCATGGGCTGCATCTGCATCAGGTGCTGCTGCATCTCTCACTCTCTTTTATATATATGTATCTCTGCTACTCTCTTCACACACACAGAAAGACACTTTCTTTCTTTCTCTCTCTAACTTTCTCACTCCTAAAGTCTAAACAGAGTTTTTTACAGAGTTGAGAGACCACACTCACTGCAAAGGGGTGCAAATAGAGAGACAGAGTTTGATGGATGCCTATGCCTTTGTTCCTTTTTTTTCTTTTTTTCTTTGCTCTCTGTTTTCACTCTCTCTGTTCTTCCCTTACATACAATGACACCCCCCCCACCGCGCAGAGATATAGGCTCAGTGAGACAGTGAGAGCTAGTGGAGTTGGATTGTATATGAAAAAGAGAGCCTTTTTTGGGGTTTTGCTTGGTTTTGGCTTTCTGGGTCTCTTTCTATCTCTCCCTCTCTCTCTATAATAAATAAGAAATGGAGGGGTGAACGTGAGCTGCTATAAAAACCACAAAATTAAGAAATAAATCAAACATGAAGATTATGTTAATATCATCATATTCACATTCATTCATATATATAATCATAGATTCATACTACTTTTCATGACAATGTCTGTTGGGTCACAGCTTGGGTCCAAACTCTTTCGGACTCTGTTATTAATGTGATGACGTCTTGGCTTTGTCAAGAGATTCCAAGAAAGCTCCTTCGCTTCTTCACCAACGCGCTCTTCTCCAGATGCCAGGCACGTGAAGTGACTTGCTTGCTAGCTTACTCCCAAACTTTGTCTGCAACTCTGAAACTGCAACCATTCTTGGGGTTATTGATTAGCTGCATATTAATTTGGAGTGAGGTGCTTCGCCAAAAAAAGAAAAATTTACTTAATGGAGTGTCAGTGAGGTTTGTGGTTTAACCTTTAATTGGGTTTGGCTTTTTGGCCTGGAATCTGGATGGATACTTGGGTAATATAATCAAGTACAAATAATACTGATTAGCTTCTTTGGCAGGATTTCATGGCGTTAGGTTTGGAGCATTCTCTACTTTTTGTGTGGATTTCATTTGGTATTTTGGTATCTTATTCAACAATTAATGATTTATATGCAAACTTATAAATCTAGATCCAAATTATGCTTGAATTGGTTGTCTTATTTTTATTATCAACCCTAAAATTATATCTTGCAAACTTCAAGTAAATTGATAAGAGAATCCCGGCTGTTAATCACTACCAAAGTCCTATTTACTCCCATCCCATCCGTTGGATTGGAACAAGTTACTGCATTCACTGAGCATGGAATTTCTGTAAGTGCTTTTCATTTAAGCAATAAATGTATTGCTAAATGCCACAGCGGACCTGACAGCACTATCAACTGCACAACAATAATTGATCTCTAGATGTTTGCTGAACTTACTTGGCCAGTTATTTTCAATACCTCTGAGACTCAGGAAGATATTTATTGCTTTGATCTTATCGGTTGGCAATTTGAATACCTGAGACCCAGAAACTAAAAGGTCTTTCCTGATATATTTTCTTGCCAATCACATGTTAACATTTGTGTAGAGGTTTTTTGTTTTTGGATGTTTTTGATGAATTATTTTTGTATATGTGTAATTTGTAAAAAGAAGAGAAACACTGTCCATATATTGGCATGTATTGTGTGATTCATATATTTCAATGATTTTTTTTTCTTTGTGGTCATTATATCCTGGAAATTGGAACTGAAGTGTAGCTAGGGTAGGGACCCAAGAGGTCACATGCCCCTTGTACTGGTGTCTTCCACTCCATTTCCAACTGTCCTCATTTAGTCTCCTCAGCTCAGCACATTTAACTAGGTTAAAGCAACCTCCAAAGTTATCCTCTAGCTCTAGACAATCTCCAATAAGCATCTTAACTGTCTAAAAGGGTCAGCTGCCAGCTTCTTTTTGTGGTTGTGGGTCAGAAAACTCACTGAACCATCACCCACGCTTTCCCTCTAAACAGTAACTGCATGACCTGCTTTCTCCTGCTTGGTTGGGTTGAAGCATCTTTACCATTAACCACATTTTGTATATATATAAATTTATGTACAATAATCATCTCTCTCTCTCTCTCTCTTTTTTCTTCTCAGAAAATGATATTTGCTGGTTTGCACAAACCAATCTGCCAGTTACAGAAGATTTCATGTAAAATAAAAATTTGGGCATGACAGAAAACTCATAAGAATTATTGTACATCATTTTCTGACTATGCAAGAGGGATCATCCCAGTATCCCACATGGTGTTGGAAATATGGAAAGAAATGAAACATATTATTGGGTCGATAAATAGTGAAGTCAAATCATTCATGAGAGAGAGAGAGAGAGGGAGGAGGGGGGGTTGGTGGTGCTCCCAACTCTCCAAACATGATGGGTGGTTGGGGTGTCTCAATTGATTTCTGTTCTCAAATTCCAATCCTGTCTTTTCCTTTAGGCTTTAGCTTTTCCTTTCATGCTTTTGCCACCTTTGTATATAGGGCCCGGGGATTGTCCCTCACCTGCTCTGCCAAACCCATTTATCTCCACGCGCTTCCTTAGCTTAACTATCTATCAATGCAACAATATGCATGTCAAGTTGTCAAACACTGTACTGCCCTAAACTACATGTCCCTTCCCTCTGATCTTCATCCCGTGACTCTGAGCTGTGCTAGGCGATTTCTAATTGTTGATACATATGAAACTCAAATTTAACCTACATATTTAGATATCTGAACGACTGGCTTTAGCAATATTGTTGAATAGAAATCCACTTCTTTACTCTATGATTTGATCTAATTATGACTAAGGAAGACTCAAACAGAAAAAAAAAAGACTTAGGAGGACTAGCCTTGGACTTGACATGGGTGGTGGAATTTACTGGGCTTGCAATGGCATCATGATGTTTCATCATTTCATGTAGCGACATGAGACTTCACAGTTCAAACTTCACACCATGTATAAAATAAATATATATATATATATATATAATGTACAGATATATATACTTTGACTTTGTACTTTTATTTCTGAGGGATTCCAGTTGGCCTTTCTGGTGATAAATATTATTGGTGCATCTGTCAGGATCCAAAAAGTATGTTCCCCTGGATAGTAGCCACGTGACTGTGTCTCTCATCCTATTATAATTATATTTTTATCACTTAAGTAATCACCAATGACGTGTGATAGAATTACAGCACAATTATAAATTTATACAACTTACAAAGCAGAGCATCATTAGCCTATCACTTAGTTCAACTCTTATTATTTTTTTCTAAAAACAAGAAAATCTGGTCTGACCCCATCTGCAAATGACAATAAAATATAAAGTTTGATTGATTAATTTATAAAAACACAGTATTTAAGAATAAGATTCGTGCACGATTTAAAAAAGGGTTTTGAGTAAGAGACAGACCAGGTTCAAAAACATCATCCATCGGTTTGAGAGTATCTGCAAATCTGCAATATTGTTTCTTTTCTTTAAAGATTAAAAAAAAAGAGTATCAAATTCTTCAAAGACAGTGCCTTTTCTATGCTCTTGCCTCTCTCTCTCTCTCTCTGTGAGAAAGTAGTGAAAGTAGTGTTGCTGTTACAGTAACAGCACTGTAATTGATTCTTTTATATCAAACCCAAAGGCTGCCTTTGCCCACTTTCATGATCAGGCATTCTTTTCTTTAGTTATTGAAGGGAAGCATCAAGTTTTCCTTTTCATTTAAATCCCTGTTTTCTTTCCTGTGATGGTCTCTTTCTGATATAGAGAAGCATTCAAGCATCAAAGTTACTTCCTATGCTTTGTTTAAGGCAACCTGCTTGAAGATATATATATGGATGCTGCAACTAAAGACTAGTGACATATTCATATTTGTGACCCAAACAATTCATATAATTAATTTGATTTTAACAAATGCATATATAAGGTTGGTTCTGTATTATTTTACAAACAGCTAGATATGCAGTCATTCTCAATCATGCATGCATTCACTAGAGGCTAGTAGGCTAGTAGCTATATGGCCTGAGTGGCTGGGGTTCTGAGAAATAATCTATTAATCTGCAGAGTCAGAGTGGCACATAAATAATCCGTTGTTGAATATCTTGTGCACAATAATGAAGGCAAGGCAAGGCACCAACCATTTATTTAGAGCATTGTGGTTGTGGGGATGGGATAATGGGGTTGTGGGAGTCGAAGCACATTGAAGAGGGTGCCAAATTATATGACTAGGTTATTACAGTCAAAACGACAGCTAAGCTGCTGAGCTGCTGGTGGTAAGGAAGGCCAGTTGATATGATATTATTATAGACTGCGGAGTGGAGTGGACTGTGTGGAGGAGGGAGGGTGTTTTAACATGACATGCACACTTCCACATGTCTGTATTCTTTTGGCTTGAAATGTCACACCACATACCCTTTTTCACACAACAATTGTTTTGGCTCTCTTCAGAGAAAACCTTATATATCGCGGTGATGGTGATATCACTATTTTGTTATTTTTAATTAATTACGTTTTGTCGTATGTATTTAATTAGCTCGAAATAACGAAACAGTGCTATCTTCTCCTCCCTCTCCCTTCTGTCTACCCCTAGGACCCTCCCCTAAGACCCCATTGGACCCTTGGCTCACAAAATTTGTAATTATATGGTACTTGGTCTTTCCCATCTGCTGCACTAACCATGTGACTGTCAACAGGTGCATGTCCCACATGTTTGACACTCTGCTTTTTGTAGGACACACACAACACACACTTACTTTTATTACACATAAAAATAAAAGGCTTTTTATCACAAATGGTCCTTGACGTTTACGAAATTATCACAAATGGTCCTTAAGGTTTTTTTGTGACACTAATAGTCCTTAACGTTTGGACTTTTTATCACAAATAGTCCCTGCCGTCAAAAATTATGTTAAGTGTATGATGTAGAAGATAAGTGGAGCCCACATGTCCAATCACATTGTTACATTTGGATTAAATAAATAAATAAATAAATATTTTTTTGATGAAAATCCATTAAAAAACCATTTAGCCTCTCTCTCTCTCTCTCTCTACTCTTCAAGTTTTTCAATCNTTTTTTTGATGAAAATCCATTAAAAAACCATTTAGCCTCTCTCTCTCTCTCTACTCTTCAAGTTTTTCAATCCTGAAGATCAAGTTCAAGCTTAAGTTCATCATCCTCTTCAAATAGACAAAGACCAAGAAAAGCCTGGGATGACTTGTAGAGAAATTGAAGCAAATGAGAAGAAAATGGATCAAGAAAAAACAATCCATGCATATAGAGAAGAGATTGAAGGCCTTAAAGGCCGTCTATCAGTTTCACATAAGAAATTTTCTGAAGCAGAGAAGAAAGCTAATGCACCTAAAGAACTAAGAGAGAGAGATGATGTGATACTCAAACTAGAGGACAATCAGAAGGTTTCAAGATCAGCTAAAATGGAAGAAGGAGCAGTTCAGACATCTAGAAGAAGCACATGACAAGCTCCGAGAACAGTTTCTTATTCTCTCGGCGACCCACATAGAGAGAGAGAGAGAGAGAGAGAGAGAGAGAGGTTAAATGGTTTTTTAATGGATTTTCATTAAAAAAAATATATTTATTTATTTATTTAATCCACATGTCACAATGTGATTGGACATGTGGACTCCACTTATCTTCCACATCATACACTTAACAGAATTTTTGACGGCATGGACCATTTGTAATAAAAAGTCCAAACGTTAAGGACTATTAGTGTCACAGAAAACCTCAAGGACCATTCGTGATAATTTCATAAACGTCAAGGACCATTTGTGATAAAAAGCCAAAATAAAAATAATGTTTTCACAGAGAGAGAGAGAGGGGACTTGTACAAACTCTTTCTTATCACTGCAAATTAATTAGCTTTCAAGTTTCATGCCTCCCGTCTCAATGAGAGAGAGAGAGAGAGAGGGAATCTCCTGCTACCTGCACCAATGAGTCAATGGCTGGCGACCAAGTAGAGAAATACAGTTAGTAGAAGATATGGAAATTGGCAGGGCAACCGGGCTCCTTTATTTGTTATCAGATATGAAAATAAAAAAAAGAAGTGAGATTGTCCATGGCCTTTGGTGCATCATCTCATTGGATCCCCTCTAAAGCCAAAATGAAATATGAAATGGGACTGCCAAAAAGTTAATTAGGAAGGAAAACGTTGCATTTAAAATGACTTTTAGATTAATTCAAGCTATAACTAGTTCTTTAATAAGAAATGCTGCTCAAATAAATATGAAGGTGCCAAGATATTCACATGAAGAAAATTACAAAAATTCAAGAAAGACCATGAGAAAACAGAGTCTTTGTTTTAAGAAAAATTGAAAAATAGATGAAAGTCAGCATACCACTCACCAAATCAATGGGAAACGTAAAGTCCACAACTTTTCTTTCTTTTTTTCGGGTCAGAAAAGTCCACAAAACTGGCCTGCCATATCACTGAAACACCAAAATTTGTATTATTTATTTTTTATAATATAATGTTGGCAATAACGATTTTCTTGAGAGGGCGATCCCCTGGGCTAGCTCAGGGCCAACCCATCCAATGCCGAAGGCCCAAGGCCCAGCCCAAGTAACTCTTGCATGACAAATTGCATTCTGCGGGTCAAGTCACTAGATAAACTCGTAATTAACTAAAAATCACATTTGACAAAGTCGGTGGCTTGGGTTGGGTGAGTTGAGTAGCTTTCATTTCGGCTTGTAATTTCACTGGCCGAGTGACCGGTTTGTAGTGCAGGAAAATATTTTGTGACAAGTTTTTAAGATCCCCTTTTAGGTCACAAGATGAAGGCTGATTAAAAGAAAAAATAAAGAGAAATTCAATGTTATGGAATCATACAAAAATACTTATTTCCGGAGTAGACAGATCTTATAGTGACACAATACAAACCATAGGGCTTCTTCTCCCCCGCCCTCCTCCTGCCTCGAGTCGTTCTTCCTCATTGTCTTTACCAATTTGAGCTTTAATCCGAATTACGTTAACTGATTTTCGTAGGCACGAAACTTCCACTTTTTTCTGATGACATCCTTCTGTTCATTGTACTGCGCCTTGATAGGCTGTCAGATACTCTTATTTGTATTTCTCTTTGTTGGAATTTAACCATAATGTGTTTAATAGCTGTCAGATACTCCGACTTCAAGAGAAAGTGAAACTCCAAAATTTGAACAGATACTTGGCAGAGTGCTTTGGCTATCACGGATTCAAATAAGATTCCCAACCATCTTTCTGTAGTTTCTCTGCCTTTGTCAAGACTTCATTCCTTGTGTCTTCTTGATACTGGCTCATTCTGCACTCAAGTTTATACCTCATCACAAAAGGCAGACAACAGAATATACAGATTTTCATTTCAAGCTTTGTGACATGAATAATTAAGTGAAAGGACCCAACCTTGACAGTAGATCAGCATCGCAAACACTCAACATCCTTACTGCCAGCAAACCAGCATTAGTGGCGTTGTTTACAGCAACCGTTGCCACTGGGACCCCTCTTGGCATCTGCATTATCAACACAAATACGGAATAACTTTCCAGATAAGTTACAAAAACAAAATAATAACAATATTAGTAACGATCTCAAGTAAAATTTTCATAGAGCACAGTAACGAAAAAGGAAGCAATGAAAAAAAACAACAAAAAAACCAAAGATGTTATAGGGAAAAAATAAGCATAATAGTTTGAAATAGTATACCTGCACAATGGATAAAAGCGAATCAACTCCATCCAATGTAGAAGCACGCACAGGGACACCAATAACAGGCAAAGGAGTGAGGGCAGCTACCATGCCTGGAAAACTCAAGCGACAGTTAAATTAACCCCAGAAAAAAACATAATCACTTAGAGCAATTTGTTTGAAGCATAGTTTATAAGACTAGCCTGGCAAGTGAGCTGCACCACCAGCACCAGCAATGATGACCTGAATGCCTCTCTCCCGAGCAGACAAGGCATAAGAATACATCAATTCAGGAGTACGATGTGCTGAAACTATTCTCACCTGGAAATTATCAGTTTAACATCATATATTACTAAAATATATAACACACATTTAACGGGTAATCCTTTGACATCAAACAATAACATGTGAGAAGCTGACCTCGTTAGGCACTCCAAACATATTCAAAACCTTTGCAGCATCTTTCATAACAGGAAGATCCGAATCAGAGCCCATTACAATACCAACACGTGGTGCAACTGCATTTAGAAAAGAGAAAGCAACATGAATAAAATTTAAGGATAACAAAGTGTGTTTAAATAAACAACTTGTTACGACTATTAACTAAAAAATGAAATGAAAATGGAATCCATATCACAGTTTGGCTTTCAAAGAGGTCTATATATGGTACAGGGAGAAGATGGGAATCGCCACAAAATGGATTTAGAATATTTAAATTTATACAAGGTTAACATTATCAATTGTGTAGGTGCCTAGTCTTTCATGCCCCAGACTGCTTTATAAAGTTCAACCATTGTCATTCCCCTTGCACTCTTCCAATTTTACAGTAAATTTACCACAATGACGATTAGTCATTTTATGAAGTTTACTGGTACATGTACTAATGAAGCCACCTGCGGTTCATATAATTAACCACATAGGCTCGCAAAATTTGGACTAAATCTCAAAAGATGTACAATTTTTTTCATAGTCAAAAGGAATAATTACGCGAAACCACCCTACTCAAACTACCTGCAGACTGACTTTCAGAGCTCTCTTCATTTAACATTGAATCCAGGAGCTTTTCGACATTGCCCACGGAAGGTCCAACAATGGTGATATGACCCATCTTCCGTTGCTTTCGCATTTCTGCCACAATATAATTAGTATAGGTATTGGGTAATCCTTGAGTATGAATCAGAAATAGACAAGACATTAAAATATGGACATAAGCAGAATCTAACCTGGCTTATCATACCAATGAACAGTAGCCCCTGGAATACACAATGCTCTTGCAATCAGTTGATGAGCTAGATGGAAACCAGGTTCCCCCTGAAAGCATAAAAAATGGCAGGACAACAGTCAGCATTTGATACATTGATCTATCTTCCACAAGCACAGATATAGCTGTACATTTTTCAAACACTCCACTATATATCCATGTTCATGAAAACAATTCAAAATAGTAATTTTAAGAAAAAAGAATTTGAGAACTAAAAGTCAGAAATTAAGTGCAGACAGATGGCGTTCACAAAATTGAACAGAACCTCACCTCATCTTCACCAAGTAAATTGTACATAATTGCAGCCGGAGTTTTCATTGATGGATCACCAAGCGGAAGCCCAACAACAGCCCGCAAATGCTGTTCATACTGTGAGGTGTAGCAAGACTCTATTGTGTGATGACCGCTATTGTGAGGTCTTGGAGCTACTTCATTGAGCAAAATCTGACAAGAAGTCACAATACATGCATAACTTAGTTGAATGCAGCAGAACTATGAAAGATAAAAAGCCAATACACCAATCAATAAATAACGAATAACCATAATCCAAGTTGTTAAGAGAGGTAGAATTGCTACCTGATCATCCTTTGTCAAGAACAACTCAACTGCAAACACACCAGCACCTTCTAATGAACTAACAGCTCTGGAGGCAATATCAGTGGCCAGCTCTCTGATCTTCCATGACATGTTAGCAGGTGCCTTTACAATATGACAAATGTTTTCCCTGCATGAAAAATCCCCAAAAATACATGAAATCATTCGGCTTTATGTGGATATTAGTAACATTTAATAAACAGATATGAAAAATTTAAGATCAAAGATTGGCTGCTGACAGACAATAAATTTAATCTACAGATTACTTGTGTATAGTTTCAACAGCGGGGTAGCAAAGGATAGAATTGTCTCTTCCTCTTGCAACAATGACAGCCAGCTCCTGCAGTTAGATTGCCAAACATGAGAGGAGATTTTATTTTTGATGTACTTGTTCAGAAGCACATTTGTTTATTGCAAATCAATATTTGGTTTGTAAATCATCAAACAATGTGTTTTGCATTTATATTGCCAATAAAAGAGGAAAACATGGTTGAAAATACAATGTAATGGTAAACTCACAAAATAAACCATTAAAGCTCATGGTAACTGCTAGAGACCAACCTTTACAAAAGGGGCCCATTTCTCAACATATAAACCACGATCAAACCCTCCAAGAGCTGCAACAAACGTAGAATTATATTTTGAAAAATGGATAGCCTCTAGTTGAATTCAACACCAATCACAATCCAGTTAAAATTTTGAACATATTACCGGTTACAGCAGAAGAAAGCTCATCCTCACTCTTAGCGACAGCATTTCCACGTCCATCATAAGCTAACCTTTTACTTTTTATCATAAGAGGATAGCCAAAGAGGTCCCCTGCTCTCTTGGCACCTTCAAGATCATCTATCTACCTTTGCCACATTATACAATGAACAATATATAATCTTTCACTATGTTATAGAAAGCAAAATTGCAAAATCATTTATTATAGTCCTTCAATTAGATAGATAAAGAGTAACTAACCTGCATAAATTCAGGAAGTGGAATATCATGCTGCGAAAAATGGACCTTTTGGAGATACTTATCCTGTTACATTTAAAGCATGAGATGCTTAGCAATACTATAATGGAACCATGCAGTGAAAAGTGGAATACCGAATTAGTGCAACATGCTTATACTTTCATATGCATCAACATGGTAACTTAAAAAATATCCCTTAAAATGAATAGACAAACCTGAATTATTCTGATTGTAGAGGCTTTGGGTTGGCAATCCACTCCTTGTAGCTCAAGTTTCTCTAATGTCTCCACATCCACATGCTCAATTTCCACAGTCAACACTCCACATCTAACTACCATGAATAGAATTAGAGTACATACATATTAATTTCGACTACAGAGACAAAGCGGTGCTTGATGGAGAAACATGAAAACAATACAATATAAATATGGATCATAAGGACATAAATGCAACCAAGTTGATAAAATGTTAACCTCTTTGCAAATTCTTGGACTGTAGCGCTATCATCAAAGCTTCCAACCATATGATGATAGGCAAGTTTACTAGCTGGGCAGTTCTCTTGTGGGTCCAATACCATCACTTTAATGGCCATTTGTGAAGCTGCTTGACATAGCATACGACCCAGCTGACCTCCTCCAAGAACACCAACAAGCACTTCAGCCACTCCATGAATAGGTAAATCATCTTTCCTGCACATAAAATATTCAAATACTATAAATTCACTTATATATATATATATATATATATATATATATATATGTATAACAATAAGATAAAATGTCGAGTTCAAGTTGTCTAAAACTAAAATTAACACTCATGCTCGACATATTTTGACATGAATTTTCTTTAAAAGCAAATATTACCCGACACGAGTCACGTGAGAGCCACGTGATGCTCGGCAAGCCAATACTGGATTGCGGTTCAGCTGAGGCCACTTTAGCGAGAGAGAAGAAGCGAAAGGCAGAAGCTTGTTCTTGTCTTTGAGGTCCATGTAGCAAGAGAATGCGCTTTTTGTTTTTGATGCAACCGAACACGGCCTAAACCCAAAAGAGTCACAGCAGCAGGAGCTCTGCTGAAGCATTTCTGTATGTCTTTAGAACTAGAGAGAAAAACCAAAACCCCACGGCGCCACTCTCTCTGTCTCTCTGTGGCTTTCTCTTTCTTCCTATGCTCAGGGGACTAGGTTGCGCTGGTAACTGGGCCTGGATGTGCTAAAGTCCGACCCGACTTCTCGGACTTTTACCCAAGTAGTCGGGCTCTAGGAAATACTACGAACATTTTAACAGTATAGCCGTGCGGCTATACTCTTTGTATATACGAATATTTTAAAGTATGGCCACCCGGCTGTACTCCTTAAATTTATACGAATACTTTAAAAGTATAGCCGCGCGGTAATACTTTTTAAATTTATACGAATATTTTAAAGTATAGCCGCCCGGCTATACTCTTTAAATTTATATTAATATTTTAAAAGTATAGCCGCGCGGCTATACGCTTTAAATATTAATATATTTTAGACGTAAATATTTACCTCTTATTTATAGGCAACAACAATACAATTATGTGATTAGAGATAGGTTTTCGAGTCTCCAGTTATACATCAAATAGAACTCTAAATATTTCAAATTTGACTCGATTTGTGCTTAAGCCTGCGAGATTTCCATAAAGTCCATAGATGATGATTCTACTTGCATAAACACGTAAAACAGTATACACAGATTTAATGAAGATGAAAAAGAAAAGAAATTATGAGGTAGCACAAATCAAAATGGCATCAATCTTCTTATTGATCACAACGGTATAATTTACAGTTTACACACAATAAAAACCCGTTTTACAGTGCAATCACTCATCCACTCCAGAAACCAAAAATGGAAAAGAAAAGAAGTTGAAGAAAAAAAACAAATGAATAAACACCCACTCAAATTTAATAAGGAAAACAAGAAAAGGCTCACTAACTCTACATACTTCTTCCAAGGTAAAAAGTGAAATATGCCAGACCCCAAAAAAGGCGGGGAAGGGAGAAAAATGACCAACTGTATATGGGGATCCTATCATTTTCTTTGTGTTGAGAGGAAACAAGCTAGTATTTCTGTACACTTCGTACACAATCTTCAATACAATACATATATTGGCTATCATACAGTCCAGCTTCTGCCTTCTGGAACATCATCTCCATTTCGCATGCCACCTGACATAGAACAATTTACATTTTTAACGAAAGGGAAAGAGATATAGACATGCTGGCATGAGTAGGAAGGATTGATTAAGGAACTCACATTTGTGAAGGGATTATACATGCTCAAGCTGAAGTTTGATCTCTTCTTATCCCGACCTTCCGTAATTCACCCAGGAGGGAAGCTATCTGTTCAATGAACTTCAGTCCCTCCTCTCCATATCTAAGTGAGTTCATTGTGCGTTCAAGAAACCCTCGGTCTGCCTCAAGTGCCTTCAACCTCTTATTCAGATCGGAAATCAGGATCGGAAGAGAAGCTAAATCAGTCACTTGACAGAGCTCTTCAGAGTTCTGCCCACTGCAATAAGTTTCACTCTGTTTACCGTTTAACAGAGGGTTCTCAAGGGATGAAATATGTCCTGACGTTACAGGCACTTGATGTTGCATTGGCAAACCATTCTCTCGTATTGCATCATTTTGTTGAGAACCTCCATCACCATTATGCAGATTCGACTTGCCAACCCCATGTCCTCCATTTTCAGAACAATCACCTTTAGATGAATCCGAGTTTACTCCATTATTAGAGAACAATGAAAGTGCCTTCTCTAACTTCTCTAAACATTGCAAGATTTGTATTTTCTCATCTTCAAAATCCAAAAGTGAAGTCTTTACCCTACCACCATCCTCATCACTAAAAGGCATAGTGCTGTATGTATGAGGCCTTCCAGTGTCCACATGTTTAGGAACACTAGCACAATGTTCAATGCTGCTTGATTCTGAATGATCCACCACAATATCCCTTGCCTGGATATCACAGGTTGTCTCTGGCAGATCCTCTAGCATCGATTCATTTGGGAACTTCCTCCTATAAAATTCCAGCTCTGCCTCTAGATCTTGTATTTCCTTCTCCTTCTCAACAAGAAGGTCATCTATCTTCTGAAGTGCTTCGTTATCATACTCAGCTTGCTCTTCCATCATCCGTAGGTGCTGAAGTGCTTCCATGCGGAGTGCTGCCTTCTCCTCTTGCAGTCTTGTAATCATGGCCATTGCTTGATCAGAAGCAACTGCAGAAGCATTTCTTTCTTCCTCCAACTCCTTATACAAAACACTCATAATTTTCTTGTCATGCTCAACCTGCCGTTTTAATCGATCAACAACACTCTCACCCTCAATTTCACTGACAATGCTCCCATCCAGAGATAACCCAGACTCGTTTCTTTCAAGTGAGATCCTCTTTTGAAGTAACTGCAATCCAATAGAGTTGGAAGAATCGGAAGCCTTCAAATCACCACTATTTGAGGACAACTTTGGACTCATTTCGTTTGTTGATTGCTCATTCCCTCGATTGCCAGACAATTGTGACAGCAAGACCTTCAAATCTTCAGTAACTCTTGAAGAGTCCTTCCCAATCCATTGTTCTGCAAGCACACCAGATAACTGCCTTCCTTTACTAACAACAACAAGCTTATAAGCATCACCGAGATCTAAAACATTGGTTACTTGCTGATCGGTGTTGCTTGAGACGGGGATTGTTTCCACACCTGTTTCAGATGTTGTGAGTGCCCTGACTCCTCCCTTGTACAATTCCCTAGGTTCTGCCGCAGATATTTGATCAGTTTCACGAGTTCCTGTCACATCTTCTGAGAGAAATCACCACAGACAAGAATGAACAATGTGAAGTCAATTTACTGCAGTAAACAATGGGTGCTTTATGCAGAAGCATTTCAAACAAAAAGCAATAATATTTTGAACTCTAGAGGGAAAAAAAGAGCAAAATCAAGACACAGAGAAAAAAGAGGAAACTCAAAAAATTGTGAACTTACTTCTTCCTTTTGATACTTCAACTGGGGCTTCCATTGCATTTGATGATGGAGGGGTATTGTCAAGGATAGGTTCAGTTAATGCAGGGAAATCAGCCTTGCTTCCACCTTTTTGCCAATTAAGTTCCTCCAATCCATGGCCAAAGGCAACAGTTGATGCTACAGATGTACTACCATTGGAGTTGGGATCTACTTGTGCCTGTGATGCCAAAAGTGAAGGCTTGGGCACAGATGCTGGATCTATCAGTGCTGGAGTAATAATGCGGGGCTCAGCATATTGAGCAGAGATATCTTCCTTGGGATCACATCTTTCATGAATCAAACCACTTGCATTATCATCATCAGAAAAATGAACTTCCGATTCAGTATCAGAAGTAACCTTGAGCTCTGTGTATCCAACATGAGATAAAGGGTGAAGCCCACTATCTCTCACATGAGTGGCTCTTACTGAAATATATGACTCATCTTGTCCCTTCCTCAGTTCTTTCCGATTATGTTCAATATCACGAGATAAGGGCACATCAAGTTCAGCCTCGGACCCAAATTTTTTTGTCTGAATCAACTTTTGAGAATGCCCCCGAGATATGCATGGCTGATTGCAACAAGAACAAAGTGTTCCGCTTGAAAGGCAAGGCTTATGACCCCCAAGTAATGGGTCCTGATCAAAATCAAAGTTAGCATCATCCCCCAGCTTACCCACCAGTAATCTGTATGTCACAGCATTGGATCTATTAATTGTTGCAAATGAGAAGAGGCAACTTTCACATATTCCATGAACATCTACAAGCTTATGGTGAGCATGGCAAAGAACTAATGAAGAAACCTCTGACTTGTGATTGCCGCAGAACAGGTCCCAATAATAACCAAGTTTTTCCTTGCCCAAAACATGATCAAGTCTTGAGCACAGCAGGCAGGGTGTTTGCAATCCACAGTAATAAGCGAACTTTGTAATTATATAGGAGAATATGGCATCAATGAACAGCATAGAAATAAGCAACCACTCAAAGATAGCTGTTACCAAAACTTTAGTCACATCCTGGGGGGCTTTCTGCATAAATGCAGATGAAGTCCCCATGGCAGCCATGTGCTTGAAATAGAAAACACTCCAGTCCTCCAATAAGAATCAGTACTCCAAGATGAAACTCAGCACTGTATCCAGTAATGGACAAGGGAGGTTCAAAACAATCAAAGAAACAACTAATGTAACACCAGAAGCTAGGCCTGCATCATTCCTCCCATAAACTGAGAAGGCACCAAGGATTGAAAAGTGAGCCAAAAGTAAACAAGTAGGCAGTAAACAAAAAACCAAACCTAAGAATTTTGAAAGAAAACATCTTAACCCAAAAATAGAAAAGGGAAGTAAGTGACATGCATAAACCAATTTCATAGACAATTAGTCGATAACCATGAAAAAACTATACCAGAAGCTAACAAACAAAACATTTATATGAAACGCAACCCCATTTCTCATGGAAACCCCCTTTCTCATAGAAAACCCGATATCAAATGAACCGTTAGCATGCATATCAAACCAGTATTAATGAACATGATAAGACGTTATTACTCATACATCAAGATCCACATCATCCAAGCCAATACTTCCACTAAAAGCTAAAACCAATCTGCATCCCAAGGCGGCAGAAACTTTTAAGGGTCAACGCCATAAAATGCACAAACACATAGCAATAGGGAGTGACCAATTTCTCTTAGCAGATCAATACACCTGACCAAGAAGCTAGCAAATCCAAGTAAACAAGAAAACTGAAACAACCCATATCCAGAATTCCAATACAAGATTACTAACGAGAACGACTCTAACAAATGACCCCAAAAAAGCCAGCTTATCAGCAAAATGATAAAAGAAAAAACGGAAATTGAATTTGAAATTTCATCACTTGAAATATGAATACCCATCAAAAGGCTAATGGCCCAATTCAATCTAATTAAACCAACTTGGCAGTACAAAACAGAGACTCGATTCACATAAAGAAAGAATATTTACCACACCCACCAATCCAATTAACAACAAAATCTACGATGATCAAATCATAAAAATATAAGTTGCATTGAAAACAATAACTTACTTACAATTACAAAATTAGAATCTGACCTGTTCATGTGTGGTGGAACCAAAGAAAGCAGTGAATGACTGAATATTCAGAGGGCAGAGCGTGGAAATGAAAGAGACCCAATTGAGGGCGGACTAATGCCAAAACGAAAAACGAATAATTGGTTTGGTGAGAGATTTCAAGCAGAAACAAAAGCCCAACAGAAAGGTTGAAGCTTTACAACATCATATGCACGTTGGCCCCTTCACTATTTGATTTTCATATTAGAAATATAAAAACTGAAGCAATTCAAAAGTTGCTGTTGAAATATATGCCGACAAAGGCCAAAAAGTCGGCTGTTGATAAGAGAAAACGACACGATACCGAAAGTGCCCCTAAAAAAGAAAAATGAAAAGAAGTAGAAAAAAAAAAAGATTGGATGGGCTGTTGTTCAATGAGAACAGCAAAGATTTCCCATCCAAAAAAGATGAACAGCGAAGATTCCCGGGAAAAATAGCTAGTTGGCCCTTTTCTTCTCTTCTTCTTTTATTTTTTTCTTTTTCCAGTGAATTACACACTGTATAGGACAAATGGCGGCCACGTGTTGGGAATTAGAAGAAAGCCCTTAAGCACACTTGTATTTTTTTTTTCTTTCTATTTCTTAAGGTAAAATGAAAACTTGTAATTGTCCATAAGTCACGTGTAATTGGGCACAGATCATGCTTGATAAATAAATTCGAGTATTTTGGTATAAATTTTTGTTGAACCTTGAAGATGGAATTTGCATTTTGTAAACGGATCACACAATACAAGTCCAATTTTACTAGTTTGCAATTGCAACCCTTGTCAAAATAAATCAATAATGAAAAAAAAGGAACAGCTTTTGCAATGACAAATTATATAAGAAACAAAACGACCGTAACAAAAAGAATCAAACATCACCGTTGTTTATTGTTAAGCACGCCTAGTCCTAGGTAAGCAAGTGACACAAACATCACATGCACTAAACCAATTAATAACATAATATACATAAATTAAACTTAACTAAAACAAGGAGAACATATTAATCAAGCATAGACAGTGGAGGTTTTGGAAGGGGGTTGCCATCAAAATCAGTTTCTTGAAACTTGTAGATAAACAAGTGGATGTCGTTCAAATACCCAAGGAGTTTCATCTTTTCGGTCCTCAAAAAACTGTTCGCTAACTCCATGGTACAACGACGTTTGTTCATAGTCTCATAAACTTCATAGCTGTTGAGGCCCAAAAATTCAGGGGCTAGGCCCAAGCGCATTCTCGGCCCGGCACAAATAATTAATCACAAAAGAAGCTCGATCGAGGCACAATGGGAAGCTGTAGGACACACCTACACGAGCCATGGGTCACGCATCACACTAAGCAAACATGCCAAAAATGCAACGGCTTTATAAATTCACGCTTATGAGCCTATCCGGTGCTATTTAATTCAATCTCGGCTTATTATAGCACAATTAAACTCAAGCACAAGCACAGCGAATAAACTTGCGATGCCATTGTGCCATGCTACAAGCTCGAGTGGGCCCAAGCCACGTAATTACACAGGGCTTGCTGAGAAGGTTGTGGCATGGATGGGTACGAGCATTCACAGGGCCCATTGAGGGACTGAGGAATGGAAGTTTTAGGCCACTTGGGAGCACTAAAACTCAGGCCCATTCCTCGGGCCCAAATACATGGGTTAGCATGAGAGAGAGAAGAATGGGGTCCAATGCCTTAGGAGAACATCCCGTAGGCTGCTGTAGCGTTTAGGAAAATCCATAATAGTTAGAAAGCCCAAAAAACGAATAACCCACTTCCAGCAGCTGGACGAAAGCGTGCGAGCCGCTGGAAGAGAGGGCACTAATAACCTAATACAAATGAACGAAGCCCAGCTCGGGTCCTTGATAAAAAAATCTGGCGTCGTGTTCCAACCTTGAAAAACCCCACAACGGTCAACAAGAAGCCATCGAAGGAACCAGAGGGAACCCATGTGTGTAGGAGAAATACCCAGTGGACAAACAACTTCCTTTGTCCTCTCTTTCCTCTGCGAGCTCTGATTTGGAAACCAAGGGAGAAAGAAGGTGGCGCCTCATCCCCATGGAGAATTCCAGCCGCATAAGACCTTAGAACCACAAGAAACCTTGGACTCAGGCACTCTGGTCGAAGGGGTTTCACAAGAGAGGAAGTTATTGGAGACAAGCAGAGGAAAAGTGGGAATGGAGGATCAACGAAATTAGGGTTCCAAACACCTATAAAACAGAGCTTCCTCTACCCAGCAACAGACACCATTCCAGAGCAAGACCAAGCTTTGTCAAGCAAACTGGAATTTACCCCATCTTCTACTCCCATCGTTTCTCCCTGTTCTAAGATAGAAGCCCTCCTAATCTTCCCCTCTCCCACTCTAAAACCTGCCTCTCTAAAAGGAACTCATGCTTTGATTTCTCTCTCTCTCTCTCTCTCGAATTGCTAAACCTGTGAAAGCTCAGCTCCCATGCCACAAGCTCCTCATGCTGAGTCATCAACGAATTTCGTGCATTCTTCTGGGTGTTGGTGAGAAGAACCCAAACGTATTTTTCTAAGGCTTCAGCAAGCCCTTTTAAAAATTCTTTTGGGAGTCTGATTCTTGAACTCAGGCTTCGGGAGGTCCTTTTTGCTCGCTTTCTTCTCACAGCAGCCCCAGCCCATTCGTTAGGCTGCTGGAACAAAAGACCCCCACAATAGCTCTCAGTGATCTTTCTCACTAGACGTTCCTGCTGACCAACCTTGGCCTTGCTCTCTCTCTTTCTCTTCTTCAAGCTGGCAGAGGAGGAAGAATAAGCTGAAGAAAACATTGTCTCTAGAGAAACAAGGCCTAGAGATGGAGGATATTAAATAATGGGTTACAAAACAATGCAAGTGGTTAATTATGAATGAAGGTGAAGAAGAGGATGAGGATATTTTTCACTTTATATTAATTTGGAGCAGCAATTGGCAATTGCATAATTTGCATATCCACGACGCAACTTACCCAAATTGGATTTATGGATGAGATAGAATGATATGCCAATTCATCAATTAGATTTTTGTACATATCAAATCAAATTGTAGTTATGGATTTCGACTTGTACCTTGTTTATGAATTGACGATAAGATTGTTCTTATCATGAATACGTGCTATTATTTCCACCCGTGTGTGTTTATGAATTAGTAATTGGCATGTTCATAGGTTTTACTGAAAATATAAAGTTTGTGAGAAAATAAGGGAGGGCTGGAAATATCATCACTCTCTCTTGCGATTGTTGTTGAACCATATGAGGCAATTGTATTACAAGTTTAAGCTGATCACGTCAACCCAGAAGGAAAAAGTAAGGTTTGTGCTGATCACTTGGGCCATATGAATCATGGGTTAAGTTTCAGTTCTCACGTACTGGGCCCCTCCCTCATCCTCATGTAGTTTTGTCGTTTTTCTTTTTTGGGCTCTGGTTTGCTGCAATGGGCAGTTTTAGACATTGTGGCCCCAATTAAGAAAATTTAAAGCTTAATTAGAAAAAGTAATTAATTTGGAATATAATAAATATTTTGCTTATATTGTGCTTACGTTTTGTTCTTAGCCATCACATTATGTGATCAATCTGATTTGGATGATCTATCCAATTCAAAATTTCATGCATAGTTGTATTATTCATCCTTTGATCAAACTATGATGGACAAAATAAAATCTGTTTTTATTTACATAGAAAAAGTTGTCACCACTTGCAATATTTTGTTTTTCAAAATCATTTTAATGGATAGATTTCAACTCCTAATCTAAGCTCAAAACCTCAAAATACCCAAAAAAACCACAAAGCCACAAACCCATAAACCCACAATTCATATTATTTTATTTTCTTGGGTGCCTTTCCATAAAAATCAATGCAAATATAAAAACAGTAGATAGCCCATGGGGCAAAACAGTAAATTCAGAAAAGCCATTCCCAATTTCTTTGACCTAAATACCCCTTTTTCTCTCAAAGCCCTCGTACCTGTATTTCCCTTCTCAACCCTCACATACACTGCCTCTTCTGCCCCTGTAATTCCCAATCTCTCTTCGTCTCCTTCTTGCCCTTCACGATTTTCTGCACAATTACCCGCCAAAATTCTTCAACTCCTCTTTTCAAATTATCGTTGTTTTTTTTTTCTGTCCCCCTTTCGCACTCCATCTTCTGTCTCTCTTTCTCTCATTCTCTCTTCCTGCAATTCCAAGACCTTGACTTTCGAGCTCGATCCGTCTTGCGCCGCTTTGGGACTTCGATTTTTGGAGTTTTGAGCACTACCCAGTTCTGTCTTCTGTTGATTTGGTTAATTAGAAGATGAATTTGTGGATGTGATAGGGTCTGAAGCTAGGGTTTCGGACATTTCAGGTATCATGTTGTTTGATTTTCACTGTTGAGAGCTTTTATTTGTGGGCGTTCTTTGATAGGTTTGTGTTATTTGGATCAATCTGTGAAAGTTTATTCCGGTCCAAATGAATGTTTTATCTACTGTGTATGGTTTGGTTTGTCCTCTCAATATGTTCTCTTGGCTTGGTTGAGCTTTTATTTTTTGAGTGTCTTATTAATGTGTTAAATTAGCTTGTTTTGCTGTTAATTTCGGTGGAACGATTGTTTTGTTTGGTGGGTATGGTCTTGGTTCAAAGATTATTTTTTTAGTAGTTGGTTAAGATATGGAGCTCTAGACGTGAATGCATTGGTCAAGGATTTGAACATTTTGGCTTTGTTGTCAATGACGATTTGCTAACAAAATAAATTTGTTTGTTTTGAGTGGCATGGTTTCCCATTCTGCATCTCCGTTGTTCTTTATATGGTTAATGGTCTTCTATGAAGTAAGAGTTACTGAATTAGAGTACTCTATTTTGGTGGCTTGGAAACTGTTTCAAACGAATGGGAAGTTAAATTCTGGACTTTGTGTTTATGTTTTCAGTTTTAAAGATTGTAAGCTCACTTGAGCTGATGTCCATGGTAGTGGTGAGATGCTTATGCTTTAATAGCTCTCCAATGTGAAAAGTCTAGTTCAGCTTTCGATTTCCTTTTTTTCATACTGTTCTCATCAGAAGCAGATGATGCTTGTTTTGGTTGATTGTTTAGATCTCCAATAACCGGAATTGATGGTTTAAATTTGCTTATTTCAAATTTGGATGCACTTTTTGTTTCAAAGTTCTTGTGGATTTGCGAATTCGCGGTTTCTTAATGTTAATGTGATAAAAGATGCTGAAGGTGGGGTTTTCAGTCTGGTATGTTCTGTTCATGATTCTATATTAGGTTATCTTTTTCTCTTTTGGTATTTGTAATCCGGTTACTTGCTTTCAAGGCATGCAGCTTCGAGAAGTGAAAGAATGTAAAAAATTGCCAGGTGTTGTTTGTCTTGCTAAGTGTGTCCTTTCATATTTTCCAATGTTTGATTATCTTTATTATCTTGCTAATTTTATTGTATATGGAGATGTGCGTGTAGATTTTAGTGTTGATGCTTGATCTGATAGAGGTATGTGATTGGCTATTGACTGTAGTTATGTCACTTTGTAGGCATGCTTTAGTACAGTCTGAACGCAGTGCTTCCAACTATAATTGGTAGTTACTTTGGGAGGCTGTGGAGCTGTGGACGTCTTTTTTATACTTTGATACATCGTGATAAATTCGTGAATGGCTAACCACGAGTTGATACTTGGGCAAAGTCACAATTTAGCACTCGGGCAAAATCAGCAGGTACTGGGCCACAATCATAACCTAGGCCTTGGGCAAAATCATGAGTTTGAGTTGGGACAAGCCGACAATCATCATTTAGGTATGGGACAGGCCAACGAGCATCATTTGGGTTTGGGGCAGGCTCATGACCATGACCTGGGATTAGGGCATGCTCATGACCATGAATTGGGTTTAGGACAGAGCCATGAGCAAGAAGGGGATGATGGTCACAGCTACGGGCATGGGGATGAGTTAGGTATGGATCGTAAACCTAATCATGATGACCATGAGTTGGCTCTTCATCCTCAGAACCATGAGTTGGCTCTTCATCCTCAGAACCATGAGTTGGGTTTAGTAGAGAACAATGAGCTGGCTGTCCCAGAGGACCAAGAACTTGATGAAAATTTGGAATTATCTATGGATCATAATCATGAAATGGGGATAGAATCTGCCCATGATATGAGTGTCCAGGAATCCCAGCTTGTACTCAGCTCCAGTCCTGTAATTCAGGCCCGTATGGCGATTGTAAATCCCAATTATGAATTGGCAGTGGGCCAAGAGTTCCCTGATGTCAAGAGTTGCCGGAGGGCTCTAAGGGATACAGCCATTGCCTTGCACTTTGAAATGCAGACTATTAAATCTGACAAGACTCGCTTCACTGCCAAATGTGCCAGTGAGGGATGCCCATGGCGTATTCATGCTGCAAAGCTCCCAGGAGTTCCAACTTTCACAATCAGGACCATCCATGAGAATCATTCATGTGGAGGAATTTCTCATCTTGGCCATCAGCAAGCCTCAGTTCAGTGGGTTGCAAATTCTGTGGAGCAACGGCTTAGAGAGAACCCTAATTATAAGCCAAAGGAGATACTGGAGGAGATTCATCGAGTTCATGGTATCACCTTATCATACAAGCAAGCTTGGCGAGGAAAGGAGCGTATCATGGCTGCAATGCGTGGATCGTTTGAAGAAGGATATCGCTTGCTTCCACAATATTGTGAACAGCTTAAACGGACAAACCCAGGGAGTATTGCGTCTGTTTATGGAAACCCGAATGATAACTGCTTCCAGCGTCTCTTCATATCATTTCAGGCATCAATTTATGGTTTCCTGAATGCTTGTCGGCCCCTCCTTGGGCTTGATAGGACATATTTGAAAAGTAAGTATCTGGGTACTTTGCTTCTTGCGACCGGTTTCGATGGTGATGGTGCTCTCTTTCCTCTGGCATTTGGGGTTGTTGACGAGGAGAATGATGATAATTGGATGTGGTTTCTTTCTGAACTTCATAATCTGCTTGAGATTAATACAGAAAACATGCCTAGGCTTACAATTTTGTCAGACAGGCAGAAGGGCATTGTAGATGGAGTTGAAGCAAATTTTCCTACTGCTTTTCATGGCTTTTGCATGCGTCATTTGAGCGATAGCTTCCGCAAGGAGTTTAATAATACAATGCTTGTTAATCTTTTATGGGAAGCTGCTCATGTTCTCACTGTAATTGAATTCGAAGCAAAAATATTAGAGATTGAAGAGATATCACAAGATGCTGCATATTGGATTAGACGGATTCCAGCTCGCTTGTGGGCTACTGCTTACTTTGAGGGAACACGGTTTGGGCATTTGACAGCTAACATAGTTGAATCGCTAAATACTTGGATATTGGAGGCGTCGGGGCTTCCAATAATTCAGATGATGGAATTCATTAGAAGGCAGCTAATGACTTGGTTCAATGAGCGTCGAGAGACCAGTATGCAGTGGACATCGATTCTTGTGCCTAGTGCAGAGAGGCGCGTTGCGGAGGCTGAAGAGCGTGCACGCACTTTTCAGGTCCTTCGTGCTAATGAAGCTGAATTTGAAGTTATATCTCATGAAGGGACAAATGTTGTGGACATTCGGAACCGTTGCTGCCTTTGTCGGGGCTGGCAGCTTTATGGTTTGCCATGCGCACATGCTGTTGCAGCACTTAAATCGTGCAGGCAGCAAGTCAATCGATTTACTGAGAGTTGTTTCACAGTTACCACCTATCGAAAGACATACTCACAAACAATACATCCTATTCCAGACAAATCCCTATGGATGGAGTTATCTGATGGAGATCCAAATGCAAGCAATGTGGCTGAGGTTCTCATCAACCCACCTAAGTCACTCCGTCCACCAGGGAGACCAAGGAAGAAGCGTGTTCGAGCAGAAGACCGTGGCCGTGTGAAGCGAGTTGTGCATTGTAGTCGGTGCAATCAAACAGGCCACTTTAGAACGACGTGTGCAGCCCCCATATAAATCGTCCCTATTGGCAATTAGTTTGCTGCTATGGAATCAGGGTACGTCCCTTTTGTGCAAAAGGATTTTTGCTTTTTGTGATTATTTATGTAGTCCTTGTTAGTTAGATCCGTAAGTTAGTACGTACATGCTGTATTGCGTAGAGAATTATGTGGATCAAGCTTATTATCTGCTATCATATATGAATGCTATTAGCACCAATAATTCAATGTTGACGGTGAAATTTGCGGTTCAATTTTTAGAGCACCAAATTGATCAACACCTCACTAAAAAGTTTTAACCTCGTCTTCGTGGTTGTAAAGTAGCATTGATATATTTTGGGTTTTTGTTTTTGTTTTTGTTTTTTTGGTGTCCAATGACAATGACCATTGGCCTACCTGCCACAGCTAGTGGCACCGATGCTCGCGAACAAGGACAACAATCTAGTGAAGAAAATTAAAGTACTAAACTACTTGAATAGACAAAAGAAATGGTAAATTAACCTTTTATTTTATTACCAAGAAAAGAAAATAAGAAAAAAGCCTATTCTTTTGTACAATCAGTTGGCTTAAAAAACACCACGCTGCTTTCTAGGTCATAACTAATGAAGAAATCTGACTGGGCAAAGTTTCCATAAATACCACCATCACTAGTGACATTCTTTATTGCAAAGCAGAAAACCTCCTCTCTTGGTGGAATGAAGGTTTGTTTTGGTAACAACCTCACATCAGCCCCACCCCGAAAATGTAGAGTCAATATTGGTCCTTTGAGATTGGTTTTGCTTTTGTAGCAAAGCTGAAGACCTAAACTTGGATCATTTTCTACGGGTGTCATTGGAATTTGACTTTTCACTTCTGCTACCAAGCGGTCATAAAAATCTTGTGGAATGAGTGTGGGAGGTGTGCCTGTGTCCATGAACATGTTGCCTTTTGAAACATTCCCTGATGAACTAAAAGGCACAAGCTTATCTCCAACACTAATTCCTTCAACTGTCACAAAATATGGGGTCTTGTCTTCTTTGGAAACCAAAGGTGTTGAAACCACACCTTTCCCTGATACTAAACTAGCTTCCCCGAAACTGATCTTGCTCTCAACACTAGGATCAGTATGAAATGGCATCAAACAGAAGGAGAATTTTTTGACCCCAACTAAGGGACTCAATTGAGAAACAAGTGATAAGGGCCCTCCTCCCAGGCTAACTATTCCCATTTCATTTTCATTAAAAGTCCCAGTATTGTTATGTCCACAACCAAACACAATATCTTTCAGGGAAGTTGCCTACCCTGAGGTGGATGTTATGGTAATTGTCTCCTTAGCCAAGACTCCTTGGGTCAATTCAGCACCTCCATACTCATAAGTGTAATTGCAGGTGTGTTGAGGTAAACATGTCCCAGTGCCAATTGCATGACATTCTTGTGCATCACAAGGAAGGTCACTATATGTTGAGGATTTCTCGGGATCGAACTTGGGATTAATCTGCTTGTAGCAGCCATGACATGGCACACATTGTCTCCACACAAGGTCACTACCTGTATCAGCAATGCCGTACACGTCAAACGGTGGATTTCCAATCGAGAGCTTCATCAGATACTGGCCCTTGTCAGGTCTTACTCGTGCGCTGTTTGGATAGAATACTGGTCTCATGGAGCGTCTGCGTCCAAAAGCTTTGTTGAAGCTCTTGGAAGAAAATGGTGAATTTGGAGAGTCTCGGTGGATAAGGTTGGCACTGAACCCACTATTAACACCTGCTGATGCAGCTAAATGACATGCAATCAAAACGAAAAGAATAGTCACTGCACCAAAGTCTGCGGCTGCCATGAGAGAGACTGAGATGAGAGAGAGCTATAGGAGAGAAGAAAATGAGATTGCTTAAATTTGCATACACATCCAGTTTCAGTTCAGGCAACAGATATAAATTTAAGGAGAGACAAAGCCTTGAAACAGAAAGTGGTAGATTTGTATTGATGGCTAGAGAAAGGTATAAGTAGGCACACATGGATTTCCATGGTCACCTACATTAATGCTTGCTGATTCTCTAATGGTTGCCTTAGATTACCTACTAATTCTTCCCCAGCCACACATGAAATTTCATGCCTACTTTAAAAACATGTATATTATTATTTAAAATCTAGAAGTGTTACACATGGAAATATGGCCGTCAGCTAAGGTAGCTTGGTTTATTCAATCTTCCAATGAATTTTTGCTTCACCTACCAATATGAGAAGATGGTAGCGGATGCAACAAACCACCCAGACTAGTCTCTGGTACGCATATATGGGAATATCTTTGAAGTTGGGGAGAAATAAAATATGAATAATTCAAGTGTTTAGTTAGTGTTACGTCCTTATGAAGATATTATATATACTAATTACGAGTGATTATAGAATACCATGGTAGTATGATCACGTGATACATTTTGTACACGTGTTATAATAGAAGTAGATATTTATTGATATTATTTCCTAAAAGGAGGGAAATAAACCATACCGTCCACTCATATTATAACACATGTACAAGATATACCACGTGACCATACTACCGTAGTATTATATAATTTCTCGCTAATTGCCCTTCATTGTATCCATCAGCTTAGTCAACTCTCTCAAGTCTCCACATCAAACCACGCCAGCAATTTTTCGGTGAGAGTGGGAAGCTCAGCTCAGTTAACATTTATTTGGCAGATCACTTACTAATTAAATATTTGGGTCAAAAAGGAGCATTTCCCCCGCGCTAATTTGAAGTTGACCCGTGCATAGGCTAAACACGTGCCGAATTAGTATAAATTCTTGTATTTTTTGGATTTTTGTATTTGCATATTTGCTTTTGGTGTTGACAGGTTTTGTATTTGGCCAACTTGTGAAATTCGCTTCTGTTTACCAAAGTGCCATGAAGTTCAAACCTGCAATCACTGGTCTGTAATTTCTCTTTTGGGCTAGACCTGATTGGCATCAGTCGGCTTAAAGGACGCCACCATTTTTTCTAGGTCATAACCAATCAAGAAATTTGACTGAAAAAAGTTCCCATGGATACCGCCATCGCTGGTGACATTCTGTGCTGAAAGCAGAAAACCTCATCTCTTGGTGAAATGAAGGTCTGTGTTGGCGTCAACTTCACATCAGCACCCTCAAAATGCACAGTCAATATTGGTCCTTCGAGATTGGTCTTGCTATTGTAGCAAAACTGAGTTCCCAAACTTGGATCATTTTGCAGTGGGTGCCATTGGGATCTGATTTTTCACTTCTGCCACCAAGCGGTCATAAAAATCTTGCGGCAAAAGTGTGGGAGGTGTGCCTGTGTCCATGAACATGTTGCCCTTCGAAACTTTCCCTGAAGAACTAAATGGCACAAGCTTATCTCCAACACTAAATATGGGGTTTTGTCTTCTTTGGCACCAAAGGCGTTGAAACCACACCATCCCCTGATACTTCACTACCTTCCCCAAAACTGATCTTGCTCTCAACGCTAGGTTCAGTATGAAATGGCACCAAACAGAATGATAATTTTTTGCCCCCAACTAAAGGACCCAATTGAGAAACAAGTGATAAGGAGCCTCTCCCAGGCCAACTATTCCCATTTCATTCTCATTAAAACCCCTATTGTTATTTCCGCAACCAAACACAATATTTTGCAGGGAATTTGCCTCCCCTGATGTTGATGTTATTGTAATTGTCTCCTTAGCCAATACCCCTTGGGTCAATGCACCACCTCCAGACGCATAACTGTAGCTGCACGTGTGTTGCGGCGAACATGGCCCGGTGCCAATTGCTTTGCATTCTTGTGCATCGCAAGAAAGGTCACTACTCTATATGTTGAGGACTGTTTGGGGTCGAACTTGGGATTAATCTGCTTGTAGCAGCCATCACAGGGTGCACATTGTGTCCACAATAGATCACTGCCCGTGTCAGCAATGCCATAAACATCGAACCGCAGATTTCCAATCGAGAGCTTCATAAGATATTAGCCATTGTCAGGTCTTACTTGTGATTGTGCTATGTTTTGATAGAATATTGGTCTCTTCAGCTTGGAAGGAGTTTTTTAGTGATTTTAGAACGGTGAATTTGGAGAGTCTCGGTGGATAAGCTTGGCACTGAACCCACCATTAGCTGTTGATTGGCATACAAGAGAAATCAAAAGAACGGTCACCACACAAAAGTGTGGATGACCAAGGGTGGTGTCTGTGGCTGCCATGAAAGAGATTACGAGAAGAAAAGTGCCAGGAGATTGCTTGGACATGCAATTTCAGGGAACAGGTATAAATAAGAGTCATACAAAGCCTATAAACAGAAGGTTGTTTCTAATGGTTGCACAGGATTTGTAAAGTTAAGTTGATAGTCATGGATTTGTAAGATCACCCCTATATTATTGCTTTTGATTTTCTAATGGTTGCACTGGATTACCTGCTTTGATAAGAGATATTTCAGCAGATATGTTTCTTGATCCTCAAGGTAGGTTTCATTGTTGGCTAAATCCGAAAGGGCAATCTACCCCTCACAAATCTAAGTGAGCAAAACACAACGCACATCACCATTCTCTTCTTTTTCTACCTGATTCATTATAGTAGTAAAACATTTTAATAGGAATCCTATTTGTAGACCCGGTATCCCCCTCACGTAGGTAGCCTGGGCTTGATCCTAATCTCGTTGACGTGTAAACCTGGGTATGGACCTGCACGTATAGAACAAGATCAGAAGAAGGGTTGACTGGGGCTGTTCCCAGTTAAACCCTCTCCGATGGCTAAGTTAGGCACTACTCAAGGTTGGAGATATAAAATGGATATGAAGTCCTCACAATGAGAATATTTATTACCTTTGTCTAGAGATTGGTGAGGGGTATTTATAGGAGGAGGATGGTCATAAAGATCTCTTAATGAATGAGATTTTTCTCCTCTATCTCCCTGCATCCTTGACAGGGGTCAGGGAATGGGGGATGAAGTGGCAGGAGAACAGGGATGGGAGGTGCATTGAATGCTCTCTTTCTATCACCAACCTGTTTTACTTGGAGTTTGAAAGACAAAGCGACACCTGGTCAAGAGTGGGATGTGCATTTAATCGATCTTCCTTCTTGCCATGTTGTCCCATTAATGTCCTTCTAAATCAGATATTGAGCCACAGTGATCGGGTCGGTGATTAGACAACCGATCACTGGTCCAACCCCGACTTAGTCATGTTTATCTTATAAGGAATTTCTTTGCTAATGTCAAAGGCATCACATGCGATCAGGTCGGTATATACAGATGACCTGGTCCACCAAGGCCAC